ACAACACATTAGGGGGAAATATATGGGACATGCCAGTAATAAAAGAGTACATTGCAAAACTATGTGTAGCTCAAAGCATACAAATTTTATCGGAAACAAGTTTTGAAAACTGTGTGTACTATCCCATCAAATGTTCTGAGAACAATGAGAAGCATTTATCTGGCATACATATCTATTACTGTTAGGTAATAATTTCATTTACAATTTTGCAAGAGACTGCAATATTAAGCCATTGGAATATTTTACTGTTAAAAGGCTGTTACGTATATAAATAATATATTCTGCTTAATCTAATTCCAAAGATTGTAACAAAAAGGGGAATCTGGTGAAAATTAGAATTATTTGGCTAAATACTGCAAAATGGCTAATTTATTATGAACGATGTACTTGTTCTCATGTCCATAAATGGAGAGCATTACAGCACCTGAATACAGATTCATATTACATCATCAATGGTCTAAGGCAGGGTCTGCAACCTTGACAACTTTAAGACTTGTGGACTTCAGCTCCCTGAATTCCTCAGCCAGCTAGTCTTAAAGTTGTCAAGGTTGCAGACCCCTGGTATAAGGAATCCATTGTCACAAAATGTGATGCTGGTCCCTAGCTTTCATGGCTTTACTGCAGGCATGTCAAACTGCCGGCCCACGGGCCGGACGCATCATCCGGAAGCCGCGCCCACCCCATTGCTAGCAATGGCAAAACCGTTCCGATACGTTGCGCGATGTCACGTGATGTCGTGAGTTTGACATGCCTGCTTTACTATATTCTTTACAATATTCATGAAGAAAAGACTACTTAATTAAGCTACTTTAATAGGAAATTTGTAGATTCATTGGCTATGTATTTCTGAACAGTAGATATTAGCAATCCACAGAAAATAGCTCTGAATACTTATTTTGCCATTTCTATTTTGGATACAAGTGATTGACTGAGGAGGCATCTTTCTATGTCTCCACAACAAATAAAAACAATCAACTCTCAGTGGTCACATAGAAAAATACAATATAAAACAAACTTTGTACAAAAAATATGTATTTATGGGAGTCAACCATGAGCCACAAATGTTCTCTTCTATTAATATGTATTTCTATCCTATACATTTCTAGGTGACATGTGGATATCAGAACCATTTTTTATCACGGGTACGGTAAAATCAGACATCAAGAAATTTACCACATTAATATTTGTAGAACAAAAGCTTCTTAAACTCAACACATAGAATTCTTAAATGGAGGAAGATGAATTACAGGTAATGGTTGGAAAGGGATAGGAAAAGGAAATGGCATTGTGGAACAACTCTATATTTTAAAAAATTGCTAAAATCTAGGCTGGGAGGGACATGGTGACTAGAGCAAGAATACAGTTACTGTATATTTAAATTGATATTTCAAGCTTAGTAGTTAGATGCTGATGTGATAACATGATTGAGACCAATCCTCAAGAAATGAAATGGCAAACATATTCACATACATCACTTTCCACATTTTGTAGAGCTTCATAGCTGCTATACAAGAACCAAGGATCCTGAGTTGCACATAAGAGAGTAAGAATAATAGGGAAGACTATTTAGAATGCAGTAGATTAGAATTGCCTTATTGAGGGAGGAATAAGAAATTATATGTAAATAGAAAGCATAAACAACAGAAATATTATACCCCTGATAATATTCACAAATTGTCTCTTTCCCTCCCACATTTGTAAACAGGAGGATAGTCGTGCATAATAAATGGAAGATGTTTTCTGGATGAAGTGGGAAAAATGGAATAAAGTGGGGTATTGATACTATGTTTGATCTTAGTCAAAAGGCTAAGAATTGGGTATTAACAATTGCTTAGCTCCATTTACTCATAGAAAACCCATTTAGGATTTGATCAGGTAACCTTCTCTTGTTTTCAGTGGTGGGATTCAGCTGGTTCGCACCACTTCGGCAGAACCGGTAGCTAATTTTTGTTGCCCAGGCCCAGAATGGACTTCCGGAAGCGGCATCCACACAGAGAACCAATTGTTCACATATTTAAATTCCACCACTGCTTGTTTCTATTGGGAAACTCAACCCAAATTAGATTTGGAGTAATGGATAGTGGCTATGGACCCTGAATCAACCAAATAAGAAGATTAAAAGACACCCACACCATATATAACTTGTCATACATCTTCACAAGTCATTTTTTTCCTATCCTGAATTTAAGTGTCAGCATCTTATCTGAACTTTCGACCAAATTGCTCTGTTTGTTAATCTAAATAAAAAACCAAGTAACATGCTTCAGTCTTATCACAGAAACTCTACTGCAAAGAAACCTAAGCTTATGTGCTCAAATATAGCAAATTTTAAAAGTGCAATTCTACACTCTGGTTTCCAGGCCTCTTTTCTCTGTATTTAGTCCTGCTGATAAAAACCATTCCCCAGGGAAGCTTCTGGTATCAAACTCTTTCTACCTTAAGAGAATTGAGGCCCTTGAGGGACAGGGATTCATCAGCAACTCTTCTGCCTAATTAAGTAGCAGTTTGATAGATGTGACAAGGACTCCCATTCAGCTCTTAACTGAAACAATGATATCTAAAATACACCACTCTTAAAAACAGCTACAGGTTTTAAAAAAGGGTCTGGAAGACATGGCGAAAGTTATTCCCCCCTCCTCTCCTTTTCTGCCTTAAAACGAAAAGTACAATCATGCAAGGAAGTTTCAAACAATAGATTACAGAGAAAAGGTTAGGTCTAAGGAAAATAATGGTATTTTGGTACTATTTATTCATTTCTTGCAATATTATTGCATGCAATTTGCACTTTAGGCTGGTAAGTTACAAATCGAAGATAGAACTATTAAGCCTATTGTATTATTTCTTGTTATTTAAAAAACTTTTAAGCATTAATTAGTACACTTAAGGCCTACCGAATTCACGGAAGAGAAGAAACAGAAGCACACCATTTTGTTCAAAAAGAATGAATCATCATACTGCAGACAGGCTGAATTAGAATTAAAGGAAAACGTTGAAAGTTTTTTTTTAAATGGTTTTATCTAGGAAAAGAGCAAGCTTATCTGAGGTAAGAAAATATAAAGACAGAATTACTGAATGGGTTGGACCCAGACTTTGATTCTCCTGGCATGACCATCGCTAAAGCAGAATTCTCCTGGGGGAGTTTCCATTGGGAAGCCTATGCCTCCTAAATCTCTCCCAAAATAGGAGAGGGCTGTCAAAGTTTGTCTCCTTCCCTTCCACTCAAATAATTCCTATGCTAATTCTAAGGTTTTCCTTAGATTGGAGCCCTTAAATTTGAAGGACAAAGTCCAGATCAAATCCAATGTTATGCTATAGGCAAAATTCCAAGTTATTTAACAATTTTGATTCTGCAACTAAAAGTTAACAGAATAACAGAGTTGGAAGGGACCTTAGATGTCTTCTAGTCCAAACCCTTAGTTAGGCAGGAAATCCTATAATATTTCAGACAAATGGTTGTCCAATCTCTTCTTAAAAACTGCCAGTGTTGGAGCATTCACAACTTCTGGAGGCAGGTTGTTCCACTGATTAATTGTTCTAACTGTCAGGAAATTTCTCCTTAGTTCTAGGTTGCTTCTCTCCTTGATTAGCTTCCATCCATTGCTTCTTGACAAGAAGCAATGGAGAATAGGTGCTTTGGAGAATAGCTTGACTCCCTTTTCTTTGTGGCAATCCCTGAGATATTGGAACACTGTTATCATGTCACTCCAGTCCTTCTTTTCATTAAACTAGACATACCCAATTCCAGCAACCGTTCTTCATATATTTTAGCCTCCAGTCTCCTAATCATCTTTGTTGCTCTTCTCTGCACTCTTTCTAGAGCAGGGGTTCCCAACCAGGGGTGCGAGAAGATATTCCAGGGGGTGTATATGCATAATTCGTTGCTGTTATTTCAAACGTTTGTAAGGAGTGCGAGGAGAGGCATTCTAGAAAAGGTTGGGAGCCACTGTTTTTTACATCGTGGTGACCAAACCGGAAGCAGTATTCCAAATGTGGTCTTACCATGGCATTATAAAATGGTATTAACATTTCATGTGATCTTGATTCTATCCCTTTGTTAATGCAGCCTAGAACTGTGTTGCCTTTTTTGGCAGCTGCAGCACACTGCTGGCTCATATTTAACTGATTGTCCAGTAGGACTCCGAGATCCTTCTAACAGTTACTATTATTGAGCCAGGTACCACCTATACATATCTGTGCCTTTGCTTTTTCTGTAGAACCTTACTTTTTTCACCAATCAATTTCATTTTGTTAGATAGTGCCCAATGTTCAAATCTGTATGTTCAAGTTGTATGTAACCTACCTCCAATTTTGTTGCTGTTTGTTAACAAGTTTTCTAACATGAATGCATCAAAATTTCTTAAAATTATGATGCTTGAAAACTAAATTTACTTCTCCAATATGATATGCTTCAGATGATAGTAATTTCTTACACCTGGGAACACTGGCTATTTTTCCTTGCTCTGAAAGTCCATGCATTTGTGAAAAATCAAACAATTTTTTTAAACGGTTACAAGAGTAATCTTGAATAATTTTACTTGGAAGTAAAATACTTTGCTCAGTGGGATTTAATCTTTGGCTAGCATACATAACATTACAGTCATCAATGCTTCAAAATCTGAACTGTATAATCTGCATTTCATTGTATTTCTTCGAGATATTGTCATTTATTTCAAAGAGCTTAATGTTGTTTTCAAGATTTATAATTGAATAAAATACAAATTCCAGTACAAAATGTACTTTGTGCCTAGAGCTGATGGCAATGCATACACACACACACACACACACACACACACACACACACACACACACACGAAATACTGTGGGAGGCAAGTATTAAGGTGCAAAATCTTGGTTCTACCTATTGTGAATTAAATAAGTGAAGATAAGTGGAGGATGTATAGCCAAAACCGTATGCATTAACAGAGAAGGTTGCCAATATGTGCAACAGAAGAAGAGGGATTTCAACTTTTAGCAAAGACTTCTGACAAGGTAGTACACACCTTAGGAGAAGAGGAAAGCTCTTTCACTGCATGAATAGCTGACATGTTCTCACTTGCTTCTCTTTCTACCTTGGGTGAGAGAATTGGTGGTTCCGGAGCTTTTCTTTTCATCTTCCTTTCTGTTTCTTTCACTGAAGTAACTTGATCATTTAAAGCAGAACTTGCTTTGGGTTCATAAAAGGGATTGGATCTAATTGAAAGAAGGGAAACAAATTTATTTGCTATCTCGGTATTTTTAGTGCCATTCCTGAAAGTATTTTGTTTGCACCAAATAGCAACCAATGTAGTTTAATTAAAAAACAACAACAACACATAGCGACAAAAAAACCTGCTCTTTATGCTACTAGTTTCCCTGCCCCAAATAAACTGATGATGATGATGTGTTGTGCAGCTAGGTACAAATAATGCCTTAGGTCAAGAAATCTGTAGTCACCATTTTTAAAAAAACTTTATTAGGAGTAAAATGGGCCCATAGAGGCCTTATATATATATTAAGTATTACCTCTTATTTCCGAAGCCTGAGATTTAACACAGCAAAAATAATATTTTCAAACTCTTCATTTTATTTGCATAGTAACAATCAAGATAATATAAACTGATAATGCTGACTATACTGACATAAAACCTCTTATTTTGTCCAAATTCTTATATACTTTTTATACTTTAAATGTGGTCTAACATACAAAACCTGTGAAAGGAAAAGCAAGATTGGAATGATTTTTCAAATTTAGCAAGTTAGCTACTCTTTAGCAATTTGACAAGGAAAACAGAATTTATATATACAGTCTATATTTTTTTAGAGATTGGAAATATAGCAAATACTGTTTACTGGAACTGTCAGTCGTCTTAAGCAAGAAAAGAAATTTAAAAAAAAAAGCTTTATGAACTAATATTCCCTAAAATCATATATTTATAGTGCCTTACATTACTTGTTCACAACTCATTCTGTTATAACCCTGAGAGAAGAAGCATATTTGAGATACTTAATAATTTCATGAATTATCACATTTCTTGCATCAAAATTCTTGAATACAATAACATAAAAATTAGTTTTGTTTTTTTCCACAAGTTTGATTTTGAATCAAGTTATAAAAGTCTGGCTTAGAATATTGATAAATTCTCCCAAATAGATATCCGAAAAGAAAGAGGAAGCTATTAAATCTGTAGAAATTATGCTTTTTCTTCCTGAACAAGTTGGTACATTCCAGACAAAACACTGGCTTGCAACTATTGTCCACGCTTATTTCTTAAAGATATCCTGTAAGGTCCAGAGAGGATCCAGAAGCATTCTTTGGAATTAAAGACTATACTGGTGGCTTGTACTTTGCTTTCAAGCATAGAGATAGATAGATAGATAGATAGATAGATAGATAGATAGATAGATAGATAGATAGATAGATAGATAGATAGATAGATAGATAGATAGATAGATAGATAGATAGATAGGCAGGCAGGCAGGCAGGCAGGCAGGCAGGCAGGCAGGCAGGCAGGCAGGCAAAAGCCAGGTTGAAGAAGAAGTCTGGCAGGTGCCAAGGAAGGCTCTGAAATCACATGGTGTCCCTGCCAGAGACTCCAGATAGTCAGCATTTCAGAATTTGGATTTAAATCCACTCTTGCTGTATTTATAGAAAAGCTTTTGAAGTAGACTAAGCTTCTACAAACAAAAAACAAAAAGGTCATTTTGATGGATTATCCCGTCCCTCCACTCATGCAAATCTGGTCCAGAGAACTGAGAACTTTTTAGAAAATTATTTCAGTAGCCTCACTGTTTTGGGAGAGGTTTTAGTAACATTTCTATAAAAGGTCATTTGGAATTTAATTTTCAGAGTGTTTTGAACAATTTATATGAATCTAAAAGTGTATCCTCCTTTAATGATATATTTCAACTTTATGGAATTCCATTTTCAAAAGATCCACATGCTGCTAAATACATTCACAGAGATCTTGGCCTGCAGTTTGATAGTTTTCTAACAGATTGCCTTTTAATTTAATGCTTTTGGATTTATATTTATTTTCTCTAGCATAAATGCTTAATTTTGTTGTTGTTGTTCTCCTAATTCAGTCTCAAAAGCACTCTGAATGATTTGGATTTTGAGTTAGATAAGTAGGATATAAACAAGGATGTTAATGCATTTACTACCACCCTGTGGCTTGTGATTTCATTTGTAACCAGGAAGAACCATTCATTGGAACAAATCTATAGTAAGTAATTTTCTGAAGAGTCAAGTTTTCTAATTATATAATTAGATTTCTGGGAAAAGAGAAAAGACTTTAAAGCAAATATAAAACCTAACTGCATTCATAAACAGTACAGTACAGTAGAGTTGTCATTATTTATTGCAGACAGAAGACATTGATCTAGTTAAATAAAAAAAGTAACTGAGACGAAAATAACCAGGTTGCAAAGTGAATGCACCTTTGAGATGTTCTCACATCAGTGCTCATCAAATGCAAAAAACATAAACAAAATCAAAGCTCAGAGTGATATCAAAATAAACAGTGGAGACATGCATGACAAAAGGCAAAAGTGGAAAATGAATGGCACTCCAATTGGAAGAGAAAACTCAAGAATGTCTGTCAATCATTTAATTTTGCTAACAAGCTTGTTAAGCTGTCCTCAAACAGAGGAAATTCAAAGCAGGGTGAAATTAATGATGAGAAAAGATAACAACAAGGACAATGCATTATACATGGGAGGTTACAGAGTTTTCTTTTGTTCTAAAAGTTATTTTTGTGTGGGGACATTTAACAAACACAGCATGTTTTAACAGCAAACTATCTGACCCCCTATAACCTTGGAAACAGAGATTCAACATCTGTCAGAGATTACCCCATATCTAATGTGAGTAATGAGTAAGTTGCTACTAGTTAAAACTTTTTCCTATTTTTGCAAGAGCGCATATTTATTTTTAAGAAAATAAACTTTTCCTAAGTTTCTTAAAAACTTCTCAGAAGTTTTAAATATGCGACACATATTTCCACACCCCACCCACATTTAAATTAGTTCACTTTAAATACAACCTAGGCACACACTCTATTTTGTATTATCATATATGAAACCTAGTTTTAAAATGCTTTGGTCCACCAGTTCGTAACAGGATTCCTGGGAACTTTTGCTAATGCAGAAATTTAAATTAATATAGACATTCAGAAAAGTTCAGCCTCTGCAGAACTCCTTTCTTTTGGAACAGAAACAAAGGCAGATGGATGATTTAATATGTACATTTAGGGGAAAAAAGTGGCCCAATCTGACCTCACATGTTTGTCTTTTGGAAACTTTTGAATGTGCTTTTTTGAATATGGGACAACAGTATGAAACATCTAAGTTTTATTATGATATGATATATTTCTTGAAAAACTTTGATTTTCAGTTTGTGTGTCACTCTTATTTTACCAGTGTACAGTGTGATAAACATCAAAGAACAAAACTTCCAAATCTGAATAGATTTTAAATCATTGATCTACTATAAAATCGATTAAGGAGAACATGCTTCACTAATATCGTAAAAGCAATGTGGATCTCCATCTCAAAAGGTGCTCAAAGTATATTTTAGTAATTACCTAACCCTGAATGTTTAAATAACGTATTTATTCTGGGTTGTTTCTGGATAAGAGATGTTCCCTTCACCCAAGATTATGTTTCATTTACTTAAGAAGAAATACTCTTGTCCAGAAATTTGTCCAACTGTGCAAAATGTGATCATGACTTTCACCACATTATATTTATGCTAAGCTCATGTGAATAGTTACTTGTGAAGAAAAAAGTATGAATTTTGAGTTAAAATATGCACAAAATCAGTATTAAAATACTTTTTCCCCCCAGATCTTGTTCTGGAAAATAATTCATAGGGCAATTTGAGTAGAATTTCACATGACTCCGGAAGTATCTTCAGACGACGCTGGCTTCCTCAGCTAGGAAATGGAGATCAGCACGCACCCCCCCCCCCTAGAATTGAGCACAACCGGACACCTGTACCTTTTTTTTCTTTAGGTTACTAGTAGTCCTTAATTTCCATTCAATGACCATTCAAAGTTACAAAGCCTCAAAGAGTGCTTTACACCCCATAAAGCACTTCCAGCCATTGTAAATCATCACCCACACCCTTCACCATGGCCCCATTAACATATTTTGGGCACTTGGCAACAAGCTCACATTTATGACTGGTTGTAATTTCCCATGATCACATGACTGTAATTTGCAATGCTTTTTGTCAGTTTCTGGCAAAAAATATTGATTTGGGAGAATGGAATGGTAACAATCATGTGACTCTTTTAACAACCACATGATTCAGACTTATAACTCTGTGATTTACTTAATAGCCATTGTAAAAACGGTAAAAAAAATTGGGTCTCGTCATGTGAGTGCCTCAACCTATAACCACAATGAAATATTCCAGTGCCAACTATGGTCGTAAGACCTGCAAAGCCCTATAGTTCTGGTACATGAAAACTAGGAAAGTAAAACAGAAATAAAACTGGGACTCCCTGCGAGCTGAATATGATTTTAAAAAATGCTATGGAATGGGGAAGACAAGTTAAACAAATTTTGCTCTCTCGCTCTCTCTTGTGGAAAAACCTTTGGAAGAGACCTCTGGAATCACGATGAACCATCCACATTTAGTATATTTCTTTTCTGAACAAGCTGTAATGAAGGAAAACCTAAAGAGGGTGAAAGCTCAATACAGGCCCCTAAAGGTACAACAACATCCCTTCTAGATAATGCCTGTTGTTACATTTTATAATTTAATGTGACTATCTTCCTTGCAAAAATTGGTTTAAAAAGTTTGGTTCAGAAGATAAAACTAATGTGACTTAATGGCAAATTCTTATGTCACACAGGAGCCAATTATAGAGGGCAAAACTATGGAATTTTAAGTTAAAAACGTTTACCACAGAGAAAACAGAAATGCTAATTTAAAATGTCTTTACAATACTGATACTACCTCCTCATCTGTATTGTAAAAGACCAAGACATGTTTTTGCAGCAATGAAGGTTTGTGGCCACCAAAAAATAGTTGTAATGTCATAGCATGCACAATTATTAGTTTGGCAGGAAAATGATTTTATTAGTTAACAGTTTACTTATTAAAAAAATCTGTACAGAATTGCAAGCTTGGCTAAGTTTCATTTAAAACTTGACAAAAAGGCACTGAGTGAACAAGACAGGTAGTCTTTGACTTACAACCTTTA